TTCGGTGCAAAAGGGCTGGGATAAGTTTAAGATGCACGATGATGCAATCCAGAAAACAATTTGTCCAACTATTCCTGTAATTACAACTCCTTATGTTTGCAATACATTCAGACACATGAAAAACATGTGTTTGTGCTTGCAGGTGAAGAAGGAAATAATAATAAATGCATGCTCATGATGCTCGGAAACAAAATTCTCAGGACAGACTTTTGGGCGTAAAATCTAATCCATGCGTGCACATGGCCACATGGGTTAGTCTTACGGACGGCGCGACCTCTGCCGAAGCCGTCAGATTAAAGCCATCACGTGTGCACGTATGCATGCATGTTTTTTTATCTCGACGCTTTTAGCTTGAGAGTTCAATGTGAGTCTTTCTAACTTATATAGTACTTGTATATTTTTAATATTGGATGATATATTTCAAACCATGTATTGTTTTTAAGATCCGTTTTAACCATTGAATCCCACTTAAAATATATGATAAAATGAGTATACTATTGAATACATTGAAATATTTAAAATCCACCAGGTCCCTTTCCCTGTTTGTGACATGCCCATGTGCATTTACATTTCATATTGGATTATTTGGCACAAAAGAAATCAAATATCAAAAACAAGTAATGGAAGGTGACCGAATGGCATAAATCTAAAGTGTGGAAACTTTCAGTAGTATACCCTAAACTTATCACTAGTGCAGAACTGATCTTTTACAGTGGTACCCAAAATAAAAATATTTCGGTTAGATTATTAGTACCGGTTCTAAAAGTCCGAGTACTAAAAAATGCATCTTTAATACCGGTTGGTAACACCAACCGAGACTAATCATGGAGGATCTTTAGACCCGGTTGGTGTTAACAACCGGTACTAAAAACACCAACCTGGACTAAACATATTTTTAGTACTGATTGGTATTACCAACCAGTACTAAAGATATCTCCAGGGTTACACTACTACAAAAACCCTCATAGAGAATGGCTTATAGGTGTTGGTTCATTTAAAACCGGCACATATGGAGCTTTTCCCACCTTCCTACGACGGAAAAACAGAGAACTGACACCTTTAAACACTATAGGTGCCGGCACCTATAATATATTATAGGTACCCGTTTTTTTAAAAAAACCGGCACCTATAGCTTTGAGCCGAGCCTGCGAGCCGAGCCCATCAGAACCGCACAACCACACCCATCGCGCGCGTCCTTATCTACTCGATCATTCTCCGCCTAATCCATCTACCGTCTCTTTCTCGTCTCTCAGCTCTCGGGTCTCTCTCCCTCCTGTCTCTCTATCTCTCTCTCTCGCATCTCTCTCCTTCTCCCCCCTCTCTCTATCTCGTGGTGCCTGCCCAGCGAAAACGGCGAGCCCCCGTGGCTGGCAGCCGGCCTAGTGGACGCTGCAGCGGCGGCGGTGGCCGCGCCCTCCCCTTCGCCAAATCCGGTGGGAGGGCAGACGGCGGGCTCCTGCGGCCAGCGGTAGCAGCGGCGGCGGAGGTAGTTGTGGTGCACCTCGGCAGCGGCGACGGCCGCGAAATCCCCATGCGGCGACGACGGCAGGGGTGAAGAAGAACACTGGTGGCACGGGCGAGGTGGTGGCTGGCGGTTTGAGTTCTTTGGTGTTTTTCTTTTTGAGTTCATGAGTTCTTGTCCCAAACTTTTTGAGTTCTTTATGCTTTGTACCATGCATATACTATTTTGCTGTTGGTTTTGATCTCGGATTCAAAGGCGGTGATGAAGGGGAATAGGGCTGGGTTCGACGGAGGATGACAACGACGGTGGCATGTGGTTGGTGAGTTCGGCTCGGATTCGAGCCGGCTCTCTTTTTTTTTGGCTCGAGCAATGCTAAAGGTGCCGGTTCCTAAAGAGCCATAGGTGTCAGTTGCTAGTATTGGTGCGGACCAATTGGTCCCGGATGAAAATCCGGCACTTGTGGCCCATTTGGAACCGGCACCTATGACCATTATTTTAGTTGTGTTAGTTCAAAAAGAAAACATCTCTATGCAAGTTAGATGTGTGTAGTAGTGTTGACGGCTGTTAAGTGCCAAAATAATGCCGTCAATACCTTCCTAAAACCATAAATGTGAAACATCCAACATAGTGGTAAGATTTATTTCTAACAATTTCCACGAGTGTTGATGTATACTTGTATGCAGGTGATCAACCACCAAAGTTGGGAGAGAATGAGCATAAAGAGTGGAAATATATTTTGCTCTGATGAACTCACATGGTTTTGAGCTACAATATATAAAATGTGCAATTATTTGGAGCCAAAACATGGAGCATCATGAAGTGGGGCCCACATATCAGCATCCTGAAGAAAGATGTGGGCCAGGGGAGCCAACCATGGTTTGGCCAAACCCCGGCCGAACCCCTAGCTGGCCCAATCCAGCCCAACTTCGGTATGACGGTTGTGCTCCTCATACTATGACGGTTACGGGCGTTAATACCGGTAGAAACCGTCATCAAGAGGACACATGGCAAGAGGAGAAGGAAGATGCTCTTTGGATTCTATGTAGAATATTATTAGCATCTCCACTCTCCCAAGCAAGCTCCACACTATAAATACCCCTCTCCTCTCCCTCATTCACACACACCAAAGCATGAGCTGAATTACAAGAGGCTCTATTGTACTTTATTGTATATTAGAATAGGGAGAGAGTAAGGTAGAAGAAGTCAGAGGAATCCCAGAGTTGTCGGTAATCCTCTCTTATCTTTTGTCCCGGTACGTAGTAGAGCGACATTTGGGAACAGTGGGTTGACAGTGCCTGGTGTATTGCGTTAGGATTAAAGTTAAGCTTTCCCTAGACATTGTTTCTCATTAGGAAATCCTCTCTGCCCTCTGCCCATATTAGTTTTGTGTCCTTGGATGAACCTGACGAGGAAATAGTCACACACGTTCCCTTGGATTCGATACCCTTGGAATACTCCGTAGGGGAAGTGCTACATCGGTATATCAGTGCGCTTGCGTATCTTATCTGTGATCGTAAGAAATACCAACAAGCATTTCTGGCGCCGTTGCCGGAGAACGGTTGCTGTTTATCTCTGAACCTTGTTCATCCTCGTATCCTCTTTATTTTTCTCTCTTCTACCTTCACCCCTACTACCCCAGAGAAGTATTTCTGAAAAAACCTTCTCAACCGATGGAGCCATTATCTATCTTCCAATTATCTACTCCTCGGGGTGAATTTTACGAGCCACCTGCTTCATCGGAGCCTATTTTGACACCTGGCTATGAAATTCGTCCCAAATTCATCAGTATAGTTAGGGAGAAATATTTCTCTGGTTTAGGCCAGGAAAACCCCTACCATCATCTGCGGGAATTCGAACAGCTTTGTTCGTGCTTAAGATTTGAGGCATGAAGCAAGAAACTGTTCGGTGGAAATTGTTTCCATTCACTCTTCATGAGAGAGCGTAACAATGGGTGGCTGGTCTGTCCTCTGGGATAGTCCAGGCAGCTACAAAGTCAGCGAGGACCTGTGACTTGACGGCTGTTTTAGGCACGAAGTGGACATTGAATTGGCTCAGCTCGACTACCCATTTGGCGATTTGGCCGACCATGTCTTTATTCCTGACGACTTCGCCCAAAGGGATGGAGGAGACGACGGTGACCTTATGAGCCTGGAAGTAGTGGCGTAGCTTTCTTGATGTCATGACTACAGTGTAGAGCAGTTTTTGGATCTGTGGGTATCTAGTTTTTGCGTCGTGGAGGGCCTCACTTACGTAGTACACAGGACGTTGTACTTTTTTCCCTCTCTACGATGATAACTGTACTCACGAAATAAGGCGTGGCAGCGATGTACAGGAATAATTCTTCATTGATTTGAGGACCAACAAGTACAGGGGGATTTGACAAGTAGCACTTGAGCGCGATAAATGCGTTCTCGGCTTCTTGGTTCCACTTGAATTTGTCTTGCTTCTTGAGCAGGGCAAAGAAGGGTTGTCCTCGTTCTCCCATTTTTGCGACGAATCGGCTTAGCGAAGCCATGCATCCTGTCAGCCGCTGGATTTCCTTAAGCCTTGTGGGCAACTTTATGTTCTCGATCGCCTTGATCTTCTCAGGATTTGCCTCGATTCCTCGTCCTGAAACCAAGAATCCGAGGAGCTTTCCTGACGGTACTCTGAACGTACACTTCTCTGGGTTGAGCTTCATCTGGTATCTTCGGAGGTTGTCGAACATTTCCCTGAGGTCGTCGATTAGTGAGTCGATGTTCTTGGTCTTGACGACGATGTCGTCCACGTATGCCTCGACGTTTTGTCCAAGCTGAGTGCCGAGTGCTCCCTGGATCCCGCGCTGGTATGTGTTGCCTGCGCTTATCAATCCAAAGGGCATCTTGGTATAACAGAATACACCGAAAGGCGTGATGAACGCTGTCTTCTCCTCGTCCTCTTTTGCCATGCTGATTTGGTGGTAGCCGGAGTAAGCGTCAAGGAAACTTAACAACTCGTAACCGGCCGTTGAGTCCACCAATTGGTCTATTCAAGGAAAAGGGAAGTTGTCCTTGGGGCACGCCTTGTTGAGGTCGGTGAAGTCGACACACATCCTCTAGTTCCCGTTGGCTTTGCGTACCATTACTGGGTTTGCGAGCCACTCTGGATGGAGGACTTCTCTTATGAAGCCAGCTTTGAGAAGTTTGTCGAGTTCTTCTCGTATGGCTTGTTTTTGATCGGGTCCGAATCTCCGCAGTTTCTGCTTAACTGGCTTGGCATCAGGTCGCACCATCAGTTTGTGCTCAATCACCTCCCTGGGTACTCTCGGCATGTCTGACGGCTACCAAGCGAACACGTCTACATTGTCTTAGAGGAAGGTGATGAGCGCAAGTTCCTATTTGTCGTCCAGCGTTGCCCCGATCTTGACGGTTTTGTCAGGGTTGGCGCTAGACAACGGGATTATCTTGATGGTGCCATCTGGTTTTGGCGTCTTCTTGGGCTTGCTCACTTTGTTCGGGTTCTCTGTTGTGGCGGGCAGGTTGGGAGTATGCTCGATCATGTCAAGGCTCCGCTTGTCGCACTACACTGCCAACTTGGCGTTCCCCTGGATGGTGATTGTCCCTTTTGGTCCTAGCATCTTCAGCACTTGGTATGCGTAGTGCGAGGCCACCATAAACTTCGCGACTGCAGCTCTCCCAATGATGGCATTGTATGCGGTATCGAATTCCGCGACATCAAAGGTGATCTGCTCTGTTTGGAAATTTTTGGCGTGTCCGAATGTAACGGGTAGTGTGATCTTTCCCAACGGTTTAGACGACGATTCCGGGGTAATTCCGTGGAAGGGCTGATCTGTTGGCGTCAGCTTGCTTCGAGTTATTCTCATCGTGTCTAAAGTGCTGGCGAAGAGTAGGTTGACCGAACTCCCACCGTCGATGAGAACTCTTGCCACCTTGATATTCCGAATAGTGGGTTCGACCACGATGGGATATCTGCCAGGTGTAGTCACGATCTTGGGGTGATCCGCTTCCGAGAACTCGATCTTGTGCTGGGACCACTTCATCTTGGTGGTAGTCATCTGCGAGGTGGAGCAGACTTCGCGTTCCGCTTTCTTGTACTCCGTCTTAGAGGTGTACGAAGTGGATCCTCCAAAAATGTGGGAGACATGCAGATCGTACTCCGGCAAGGCAGAGTCAGAGTTGTTGGTGGCAGCTTCTTCTGCCGTCTCAACGACTCGTACTTGCTTTCCTCTTTCGATTGCTAGTTGTCTCGCGAGCTCCTTTTTGACGACGTAGTAGTCCTCCAAGGCGTGTTTGCTTGTCTTGTGGATTGGGCACCATGGCTTGCGGGAGTCGTCGCCCTGGGGGTTGGAGTGTCTGGATGGTTTTGCTTGCTCTGTGGCAAGGACCTCTCCTGAAGATTTGCGTTTTCCACTCTTGTGACTTCTCTTCTTACTTGACTCTGGTGCATCTTTATCGGCCAACTTCTTCTTCTCATCTCCCATTTTGCTTTTCCCCTCATTGCGCCTCAAAGCGTCGTCTGCGTGAGCGCACCTATCGATGATCTCGAATAGTTTTCGGCCAGATGTGATTCAGTGTGTTGCCAACTCCTGAGTAGTGTATCGATCTCGGACGCCAGACTTGAATGCTCAAATGACAGAAGCGTCGGTGATCTCGGGGATCGTATTTCTGCACTCATTGAGGCGCCGAATACAGCCCCGCAATGACTCGCCCGGGTTCTGGGTTAAAGTATGTAGGTCGTCCTCAATCGTGTGGCGCTTGTATGTCCCTTGGAAGTTGTCGACGAACTGCTGCCACAAATCTTCCCACGAAGAGATTGAGTTCGGCGGGAGATGGACGAACCATGAATGAGCAGAACCTTTCAACGCGGCTGGCAGATAGTTTGCCAGGGCGTTGTAGTCTGCGCCAGCGGCTTAGAGAATTGTGGGGTAGACTTGCAAAAATTCTTCTGGGTTTGTACTTCCATCATATTTCTCAATTGATCCCGGTCGGAACTTGTCGGGCCACCTCACATTGTGAAGTGCGGGTGTGAATGCCCTGCGTCCGTTGCCTGGGACATCATGTGGCCCATGGTCGCGGCGTCGTCTTGGAGGCCAATTCGAAGAAGATGATGAAGATGAGGATGAGGGGTCGCACGGATCAGGAGCCCGGCTTCTCGAACGGTGGTCACGTCCGCGGTCTCGACTCGGATGAGCAGATTGGGAGTTTCGATCTCATCAGTTGCCATTGTCCCTCTCCTGTCTTTGGTGATGATTTTTCCGATCACGGTTGTTGTCGTCACTTCGGTCATCACGGGTTCGTCGATCTTGATCCTCGTTGGGGGTGTTCCCGCGACCATCGTCCTGTTCTCGCCGCAAGGGAGAGCGATGACGGTGTTGTCGGTGTGGATCACCGTCTTCATGGCGAGAAGGAGAACAATGGTGGTGACGCTCGTTCTCGTTGCGTTCCCTCCTATTACGCCGATGTCCGTTTAGATGCTCGCGGAGGTCGCCATCTTCACGGCGTGGTGGTGTAGGGTCACGTCTTGGAGGAGAGCGGTTGCCGGTGGCATGTCTCCCATCGAGATTTTCTTCCTCCGCATCCCCGGTGGGCCGTTCTTCGTTCATGTTCGGCTCTGGACCGCCTGCGGCTTCAGCGAACGTGGTATTGAGGTTGGTCACAGTTTCCCGTAGTCACTTTGCCCATCGGCTGGCATCTGGGTTTGTCACCAGATACAAAGGACTTTCCCTCAAAATCGCATCTACGTTGCGCAATTGATGAGCTAGCGTTCTCGCTGCTACGAACATGCTTGTTTCAGTGTTGTCGACCACGTTCACTTCTCTAGGTGACTGCAAAGAGGACTCGTAGCCTTCTAAGAGGTGTAACACGGATGGCTCATTCGCGCCGATGAATCCCACAAACCGATCTGGGGCCGCAACTGGTTCCTTGGCAACGCATGGGGTTTGAACTCGTGGTTGCTGAACGCGATGATGCGCCGGTTTAAGGGTTCTGAGGAAGATCCTGCAGTTGGTGAGATCATACACTTTGGATCTATGGATCGGAAAGTAGGTGGTACTCGTTGGTGAAGTGCATTGTATCCCTCGTTCCCAACAGGCGTAGAGTTCAGCTTGCACATGGAATATCACCGGGCAGTCCTCAAGAGCATGCTTGGTTGTCTTATGCACAGGACACCAAGTTCTCGGTCTTAGGGTGGTCGTCCTTGTCGGCTTTGATCTTTCACATGGAGAATGAAATTCAGCTGCTTGAGGATACCTCCCAGGTGTTGGGGCCGTCGATGTTCCGTTCTCCACCGGAGTGGGAGGAATTATCGGCGGGGCGTCGTTTCTCTCAGTCGTTGCCGTACCCTTCTCGCTCCCGATGACGATCGGACCAGTCGAGATTGTTGTAACGATATAGACCGGAAAGACAATAGATCCGACTTGAGTCCACACCAGCGGTGTCGAGGTAGAAACTCCTTGATTGGCGCTGGTGATGAGACTGTTGTCGGGGAGTCCTGAAGTCATACTAGCATATCCATAAGCGCCAAGTGCCCCTACCTGGCGCGCCACTGTCGACGAGTGGTACTCGCGGACCGAAAGAATAGGGTATTGGCGTACGTTGGAACAGGGATCTATGTAGTACGACATTAAAACAGACAAAAGACTAGGATTATACTGGTTCAGGCCCCTTATCAGGTAATAGGCCCAGTCCAATTTATATGGGATTGATGATGATGAGGACAGATTACCAAGACAGTAACCGAAGCAAGCGATACTGATAAGATCGTAGTCGAGGGATTCGACGAGATCTCCCGGCGAGTTGACTCCGTGGACTTCGGTTCCGTAAACTTTGGTGGGTGTGTTGGCGATGAAATGCGATGATCTTTGCCTCTCCCCAGGGGTCCCTTTTATACCGTGGAATACCTTGACCCTCAAGTAAGTCTTGGAGATATGTAAACCTACACGATATACTAGAGATTTCACCCTTTCCGAGGACTTATGCAATTCCTTAACTTCGTGGAGTTATTTTCCATAATCTGAGGTGAATTCCTAACGGCGTATATGGGAACCAACCTTATATGCGAAGGTATACCTTATCGGTATATTCCATAAGTCGTAGGATAGAGGGTATGCTTTATCCGTAACCCTGACACACATCTACCGTCGGGTATGTAAACGGTGACCGGGAGAAATTGCGAGACAGGTTATGCCTCGCATTCTTCCCTATAACCCGTATTACTACTCTTCGTGTAGAAATTCTGAGTTTCCAGCAGATAAATAAAGAATCGATTGATGCAGCCTGGTCCAAATTCACTAATTTAGTTCAGTCTGGCCCAACCCTATCTATAGCCGATTACGTGCTATTGCAACATTTTCAAATGGGTTTAGATAGGGAGTCTGCATTCTACCTTGACATAAGTGCTGGAGGGTCATTCATGCACAAAACTCCCGCCGAAGGCAAGGAAATTCTCAATCGCATATTAGAAAATACCTCCTTTGTCGGGCAGTATGTTGAACCCCATCAAGAAGCATGTGTCAAGAAGGGAGGAACCTTCTTTTGCCGAGCCTAAACCCGAGCCTTCAACATCTTCAGGTCTGACTAAAGAGTCCTCCCTGGAGCCATCGCCGGATTCCAATGAAATTCAAGCTCCGGGTTACGCTCCTAAATTCAGGGATGATCCTCATACCGATTATGAGAAAACCTTGACAGGCATCCTCCCTGATAACACGCCGATAGAGGAAGTAATGTTAGTTCTGCTTCATGAATCCCCTGAATCAATTCTACAACAGGATGATCTTCATTTCATTCAAAAAGATTCTGGTGAGACCCTTGAATTGCTCTCCATAGAACCACCATCACAACCTCCTATCGAGCCTAAACCTTGTCCCTCTGGCCTTCAAAACGTCGTTCTTGATAATCATCAAGTATCAACCTCATTCTTGAATGACGTCTCTCTTGAGAAGGAGAACATTCAGGCCAGGGACAAGTTTGAGACATCAACTCTGGAGGATGAGAACTCCACAAATGAGCATGAAAGCTTCTATTTCAAAATCAACCAGGATTCATGCTCACATAAGGAATCTCTAGAGTCTTGTCTGATCAGTGCCGCTTCTTCGTGCGAGGACCACAACCACCTTATGGTCCTCATTTCTAACATGATTAGAAGTGTGGTTGTGGATGCTTTCATTTATCAGAAATATTGCAAATCTCGTATGTGTTTGTGGCACTAATCTTGCAGCGAGATGTCTCCATGGTCGAGCCTGTGACCAAAAACAAAGCACTGTCGGGAGATACCCCAGATTATCTTGGTAAGTTTTCTTTCCAATAAAAGCAAGAACCAGTTTTTAGGATAATATGCACCTTCGGGTATTCTTGGTCAATAACCATTTCAGATTGAGATTAAGAACGAGGGACGTATGATGCCTAAGAATATGGGAGCTACATCAACTGTTCATTTTGGTGATCCTTGGTGCTGAAACACACTTTATGAAGACTCCAACAACACACATTTGGTTTTGATGTCTCGTGACACAAAAGTCCAAGTGTGAGGGAGGCCGACGAGCTTGCATGACGAGTTCCATCAACCAAGGCCATTTTGGTTTGCAGTCGATGTTAGTCTTACCTTGCTGAAAAAAAGAGAAAAAAAAGAAGAAAAAAGAGAGAAAAGTAAAGAAAAGAGTGACGGAAGAAAAAAAATAAAAGATGGGAGAAGAGGAAGAGAGCAAGAGAGCTGGCGGGCTGCATCTAGATCAAAGACCGCATTATGTGCGAGTCTTTAAAATATGGTCATACACCTCATTAGTAGCAATCATGCTGCCTGGCTACAACCAGCCCCTCTCTTGAGCTCATGTGCAGCCTTGGCTTAGCCTTCATCCACTCCTAGCTGTGCACAACCTCTCGCTCCAGCAGCGCCTACACGCATACACGCAAGAGGAGATGCCCTCTTCTTTTCTAGGTGTTTGATGCTACACTCCAGTTGGCACTTGCATATTTGCCCAAAAAGAGATGCATCCTATGTCTCTACAGCATTGTGCCAAAACCACTCGCTTGAGTTGGTGTGGTCAAAGTGCCTTCCTCCGCCACAACCCACATCAAGACGGAGGAGAGATCGACAATCACATGTGACCATGCCACCGCTCTAGAAGTTTCAACATATACATTATGCTGGCAGTAAGTACACTCAGGTATACAACAAAAGATTCACCATTTCTTTTACTTGTACTTATCTCTAGTTGAGTCTGGCTTGATCGTACATGGTTATGCGTCCTCGGGTCCATTTTCATATGCTATGGTTTGGGTGGTCGTCGACATTCATAGGCTTTTTAAATTAAGCATGATGCTTAGGATAGATAGCCTGCTTTAATCAAAGTTAACATGGTGTCAAGTTTGCTTCAATGAACCATAGAGCCAGTACTTTCATGGACTTCGGATGTATACCCTTCGTGGATTAAACCTTGCAGGAAATCATTTCAATTTAACGGATGAGTTCTCAAGCACGAGTCAC